GGCGTGGCCCCCGCTGGGGCGCTGGGGACGCGGTGGGCTCGGGGCGGAAAGCCACGGCGCGGGGGCCTCACACTGGCGCTGGGGACGCGGGGGGGCGGGGGGGGCGACGCGGGATAAAGCGTTCGTGGCGGAGGGGGCAGTGGGCGGGGCCCCCGCTGGGGCGCTGGGGACGCGGGGCTCGGGGCAGAGAGCCACGGCGCGGGGGCCCCACTCTGGCGCTGAGGACGCGGGGGGGGGGGGGAGCGACGCGAAATAAAATGGTCGGAGCTCTAGACACCCTGTGCAAGAGAATAAAGTGGTCGGGGCGGAGGGGGCGGCGCGCTGGGCTGGGCTGCTGGGGAGAAGGGGAGGGGGGGGGGGGGGCGACGACGACGCCGAAATAAAGTGGTCGGGGCGAAGGGGCGGCGCGCTGGGCTGCTCGGGAGAGGGGGATGGGGGGGGGGGCGACGACGACGCCGAAATAAAGTGGTCGGGGCGGAGAGGGCGCGCTGGGCTGCTGGGGAAAAGGAAAGGGGGGGGGGGGGGGGGGGCGACGACGACGCCGAAATAAAGTGGTCGGGGCGGAGGGGGCAGCGCGCTGGGCTGCTGAGGAGAGGGAGAGGGGGGGGGGGGGGCGACGACGACGCCGAAATCAAGTCGTCGGGGCGGAGGGGGCGGTGCGCTGGGGTGCTGGGGAGCGACACATAGCGACACATGTCGACACAACGCCGAAATAGGGCGACGACGACGCCGAAATAAAGTGGTCGGGGCGGAGAGGGCGGTGCGCTGGGCTGCTGGGGAAAGCGACACATGTCGACACAACGCCGAAATAGGGCGACGACGACGCCGAAATAAAGTGGTCGGGGCGGAGAGGGCGGTGCGCTGGGCTGCTGGGGAAAAGGACCGGGGGGGGCGACGACGACGCCGAAATAAAGTGGTCGGGGCGGAGGGGGCAGCGCGCTGGGCTGCTGAGGAGAGGGAGAGGGGGGGGGGCGACGACGACGCCGAAATAAAGTCGTCGGGGCGGAGGGGGCGGTGCGCTGGGGTGCTGGGGAGCGACACATAGCGACACATGTCGACACAACGCCGAAATAAAGTGGTCGGGGCGGAGGGGGCAGCGCGCTGGGCTGCTGAGGAGAGGGAGAGGGGGGGGGGCGACGACGACGCCGAAATAAAGTCGTCGGGGCGGAGGGGGCGGTGCGCTGGGGTGCTGGGGAGCGACACGTAGCGACACATGTCGACACAACGCCGAAATAAAGTGGTCGGGGCGGAGGGGGCAGCGCGCTGGGCTGCTGAGGAGAGGGAGAAGGGGGGGGGGGACGACGACGCCGAAATAAAGTCGTCGGGGCGGAGGGGGCGGTGCGCTGGGGTGCTGGGGAGCGACACATAGCGACACATGTCGACACATATCGACATATAGAGACATATACCGACACACACACACACACACATATCGACGCATAGCGACACACAGCGACACATAGCGACGCACACATGGAGACGCATAGCGACACACAGCGACACATATAGCGGCACATGAAGGACACAAGGCACACAGCGACATATATAACGACACATGAAGGGCACAAGGCAGCTGGGGGGGAGCGACGACGACGCCGAAATACAGTGGTCGGAGCTCTAGACACCCTGTGCAAGAGAACCAGAGCACGTAGGGATGGGCGGGCGGGCTTTCGGTTCCTCACCTGTCCTGGCCCAGACCGCGAGACCAGAGCAGGGCCCCAACCTGGGAAGGAAATCCTGCCCCCATGCCAGGCGGAAGCCATTGCAGACCAGGCCCCTTAGGGCCATTTCGAGCCAGATATTTGCTACCCCGCCTCCGCGCCAGGCGGTCAGTTGAAGCCTCCGCGCCAAGCGGACTGTTGAACTCTGCGAGACGCTTGCCCTTGCGGAGAAAGAAATCTGCCGTTCCCGTGGGGGCTCCCCAAGCCATGAGGCCCTTGGCACACCGAAACGCATGAAGCCCATGAACAAGAAGGTACATGAATCGAAGAACCCCGTCTCAGTTGCAGATATTCCTCCCCTGCGAGATTTCCGATTTAGGGGGTATGAAAGGACTTCCTGGCAGTCCAGGAGAGCCCCAAGACAGCACAATAGGGTTCCAAGATGGCCCCCCAAGACGTCCCCTGAAGCATTCCATCGCGCCCGAGTTCGCCTCCCTCCCGTCCCCCCCCGCCCCCTCAAGCCGCGCATCAAAATCCACCCTTGCCTGGGGCTGCTCCCGCGCGTCTAGCCGATCGTGCCACAGCCCCAGGCGAGGGCGGCCTCCGCTCGCGCCGAGGGCCTCGTCCTCGCAAGGTCCCGGACTCGCCCCGCCGCCTCGCCCCGACGCCCGGTCTACTCGCTGCGCCCCTCGCTCGGGCGCTGCGAAGGGGACCCAAGAGGTACACAAGCTGCACGTGGCTCACCCCCCACCCACCCCTGTTCTGTCGCTCAGCCATGAGCGAACACCCGACCCGGTCCGCTCACTGCGCTTCTCGCGCCGCCTGGGGCGATCCGAACCGAGCGGGCGCTCCTGTGCACTGGGCGGCCCTGGGCAGAGCGTGGCGCGCGCCCTACTCGGAGGGAGGGGGGGGGGGGAGCTAGGTGCGCTCGCGCCACATCCGACATCCTGCCCCTCCCTCCCATCTCTTCCCATCGCGCTGCTTTCTCTTTTTCCGCCAACGGACGTCACAGCGCGGTGGGAGGAGGGGAGGAGGAGGGGACATGGAGGGGAGGGGAGGGGAAGGGAGAGGGACGGGAAGGAGGGATGATGAGAGGGGAGGGGGAGTGGATGGAGTGAGGCATGCGGACGGAGCGGGAGGAGGGGAGAAGGAGAGGGAAGTGATGAAGGCAAGACAAGGTGCACGCGAGGAGGGCGTGGAGGGGATCCGATGGGAGAGCGATGTGAAGAGGAGGAGAAGGTGGAAGATCAGGGGCAGGAGAAGGATGGGGAAGATACGGAGGAGTAGGAGGAGGGCGGATGACAGGAGGAGGAGGAGGAGGAGTAGGAGGGACGAGGGAGGAGGAGGAGCAGCAGGAGGAGGAGAGGTGCAGGAGGAGGCAGGTGCTGAGAAGGAGGACGATGGGGAAGAGGATAAAGATAATGTTCGCGACGCCATGAAGCCTTGTGATCCTTCTGTAGGGTAAGTAGGATACGCATACGTACTTCATGCTGCTCTGATGTTCGAGTTCCCGCCCGCGGATTCGAAAAGGTCGAGATTGCTTTGAAATATCATCGTTGTTTTCCGTTGTTGACGCAGTGCCACGGTCTGCGCTAGAACCTGAGCGCGCGTGCTTCTACTGTTAATATATGTTTAGTGGGTCCGATTGATATGTTTTAGAGCGGGATCGATGGACAGGTAGCGCCACCGACAGATAGTGAAATTGGTTGATGCACAAATATGAAGATATTGCGAAGGCCTGACGGCCAGTGCCGCCGACCCTGAAAGACATCGACGACGACCAGGAGGGGGAGGAGGAGGAGGAGAAGGAGGAGGAGGGGGAGGAGGAGGCGGAGATGAAGAGGAGGAGGAGAAGAAGGAAGAGGAAAAGGACTCCCTCCTGGGACCCCCCCCCTGGGGAGGAGGACCGGAGGAGGACCGGCGTGGGAGAGGGGAGGGGAGGGGGAGAAGGACCCCCAGGGACGGATGCGAATCTGACTCCCCTCCCCACCCCTGGGACTCCTCCCCACCTGGGGAGGAGGGCCCAAGGAGGACCAGCGCGCCGGAGAAGGACTGGCGCGGGAGAGGAGGACCCCCAGAGGCGATGCGAATCTGACCCCCACCCCCCACCCCGGACCCCCCCCCCGCTGGGGAAGGGACAAAGGGAAGGGGCTTCCCTTTGCCGTAGGACGTGGATGGAATTCCCTCTAGCTGCGAACTCGTTTCCCGAACGAGGGAGGGTGCTCTTTCTCTCTCTCTCTCTCTCTCCCCCGACGAGAGAGGAGGATGGGAAGGAGGGGACGAAACAAGGCTCCCCGTCGACGGGACTGGACAGACGCCCCACACACGCCGACAGTGTCGGCGGACACACACACACACACAAACACTCATGCATACATGCATACATGCAGACAGACAGACAGACAGGCAGACAGACAGACAGACAGACGTACCTACCTACCTACATACATACATGCATACATACTTACACGCACGCATACAAGCAAGCTGATGTACGCACCTGTACGTGTACATACATACATAGATGCACATGTGCATACGTGTAAACATATATGCATGTATACATACAGGCGTACATCCCTACATACATGCATACATACATGTATGCATACAAGTATGTACGCATTCATACATATATGTGTGCATACAAACATACATACATACAAACAAACATGACGACATACCTATCTATACACCTACATACCGACTTGCCGACATACCTACCTGCTTGTCTACCGACTTACTTGTACATATATATATAGATATATACGTATATACGCACGGTACCCACCGATCGACCTACCTACCTACATACACATATACATACATGCATACATACATATATACACATACATACATACGTATAAACATTCATACATACATACATACATACATACATACATACATACATACATACATACATATACATACATACAGACATACATACATACAAACATACATACATACATGCATACATACATACACACATACATACATACATACATACATACATGTGTACATGCAGACATGTGTTGATGTGTGTATGTCTAAGTGTGTATAGATGTATGTGTCGATCGAGACCGTTGGTATATGTGACCCGAAACTACAACCATCCCCCCGCCTCAACCTCCTTATCACCCAAAGGGTGGCGCTACAGGAATTCACGTTGTGATTCAAAGGTGGCGTCACCCCAGCGTGGTGCAGTCGTCATGCATGCCCCAGCGAAGTCGAGAAGGAGAGCAAGGACGTACGCATTGAAGGAAGCGAGAAGAGGCAGCGGGCACACAAGCAACACGATCTGCGCGGCAGGGGAGCCAGCTTCTCTCTGTGGACCCGCAGGCTCCTCCGCCGTGCCGCCTGCCCCACCTGCGGCGCGGACTGCGCCGCGCTGCTGCGCCCCCTGGCCCTGGGCGCCACCCCGCCCGGAGCGCCGTGAGCGACCGCCCAGCTCCGCGCACGGGCTGCTGCAGCGTACAGCCTGCGGCGCTCGTGTGCGCGGAGCGCGCTGCGCCGCCGCGCCCACCGCGAGGGGGCCCCGCTGGCGGTGCGCGAGCGAGCCTGCCGCCTGCACGCCAGGGGCTATGAAAAACTGCGTCCGGGGGCGGGCCGCCCCTCATTCGGCGGGCGCAGAAGGGGACGAGGGCGGGCCAGGGGGCAGGGGGGGAGGGTCACGGGGGGGCGGCAGAGGGCAGGGGAGGGGAGGGGAGGGGGCGAAGGAAGAGGCAGAGCAGAGGGAGAGGGAGGAGCGGCAGCAGGACACGGGGGTGCACCAGGAGGTGGGGGGAAGCAGGAGGTGCGAGAGGTCCGCGCGGCCGCATCGGAGCAAAAGCGTAGTGACTGGCCAGACGAACATTCGCCAGAGAAGCAACGTTTTGAGAAGACGAAATCGTCACGGCTTGTTTTGTGAACGGTAATTCGGTAAAAAAACTCGATTGGGTCAGAGTCGCAGGGAATGAGCAAGGCGAGTGTTTCTGCGAATGTGCAACACAAGGAGTTGGCACAGGAAAGTTTGCATAAAGTGGGGCTACAAACCTAATATAATCAGATTTGCGCGATATGGTGGCACATTCTCTGTGCGAGGCGTATGAGTCAAACGAGGCAGGAGATCGCGCAGTTATGTCGGAAAGGGCTCATGTTGGTGCCACACAAACGAAGATTGATAATCGACGACACGCGATGAAAGCAAAGTTAAGCCCTGCAGCAGGTTGGCCAGTCCTTGGGCTATAGGCTGTGGGTAGACTCGCGCCCCGATCCACGTTATGTTTCCTTGCCTCGTGCTCGGATCTCGGAACTCTAAAAAGCAGGCCATGCAAGCCACAGACGTTGCCCCAGACCATGGACGTGAAGCCATCCAAGCCCATGAGGACTCCAAGAACGTGCGCACGACCACGTCGATTTAGACTGGGGAAGACAATCCGGCGGACGCCAACGAGCAACGCAAACGACAGCAATACGTTCTTGCAGTAGCAGGGGCGACTCGTGGAGACCGAGGTACCAGTCCAGCGTACACGAAACATGCGAGCAACAACAGATGAACAAATGACTAGGGCAATGCCGATGGGACTTCAGCCTCAAATTACAGGCAAGTGTTGTGACTGCAGCGCAAACACGTCGTAACCTAAATTACCAGATATGTGTAGGAAGCTTGATTGATAGCGCACCAAGTAACGGAACGAAAAAGGCCACATGCTAACACAAACAATTAAATATATATATATATATGTATTTTTTTTTTTTTAAAAAAAAAAAAAAAAAAAAAAAAAAAAAAAAAAAAAAAAAAAAAAAAAAAAAAAAAAAAAAAAAAAAAAAAAAAAAAAAAAAAAAAAAAAAAACGAAGAGAAGAAAAGAAAAAAAGGCGCGCCCATTCCACTGTGCCAGACCTGAGGGTAGCCATGGCACAAGGGGAAAAGTTGCAGCAATGCGCGGGACGCCCAATTGCTGCCGCCGCCGAGGTCGTAGGAGCTGAGTCATGCACCCTTCCCACACATGTACACCTCCAGGCTGAATTAGCTGAAGCCCAAGACAATCGAGGACCACGCAATTCAAAACCTCCAGACATATTTCGAGAAGACGACAACAATGTGCAGGAGTCCAGAACAAGCCATATCCGTCCACTATACTGGCGCAGGGTGATGTAACGCCTGGCTTTTCTCTTCTCTCCGTTCATACGATGACAGCAACCAGCTCGCCATCGGCGTTCAAGCGAGTGTCACCAGGTTTGAGCCAGTGGCCCTTGCCACATTTGAGCACATGGCGTTTGAGCATTCCTCGTGCGCATCATGCTCGTCCTCCTCCTCATCCGACTAACTATTTGATTGCCATCACTTCTCTGCACCCTTTCTGGTTCGTACAGACGCACCGCTCCCCCACGCCCTTGCTTCAACATCATCCTAAGAGCGGCCTGGTGAGAGGAGATTCCGAACGCTTGTTGTGCACAGTCGCGAGTGTCCTCCTGACCCCCGCTTGTGCTTCCTCGTGTTCCTCCTGTTCCCCTTGCTCTGGCCTTCCTCCCAAGCGCTCTTGTTCACCCCGCCCCGCTTCAGAGGCACGCCGCTGTCGTGTTCGCAACGAAGCCTGGGAGGCCCTTCGCGGGCCCCGCCGCCGAAGCGTCTTCCGGGAGCACGGCGCCGTGGGAGCAGCAGCAGCGGCCGCAGGAAGCTATTGCGAGAGGAATCAGGACAAAGAGATGGCGGCCTTCCAGACGGGGCCTTGCCTCGGAGGAATCGAAGGGGTTGGCATCACTTCCCCAGTGGAAGCCGGGGGAAGTAAAATGGGGGCGGATCCGCCGGCGGAAGTTGGCGGAAGTAAATGTTGCACCCCAAGTAGAGGGCGTCTTTTTGGGATCCCGGTTTTCCAGAACCCGCCAAATTGCGGCGGAGAATTGGAGGGTGGGCGTTTTCCAAGAGGACGGCGCCGAAGGAGGAGGAGCAGTAGCAGCAGGGCGATCAGGATGGAGGGCGGGCGCCCGGGAGGGAGGACGGGCGCTCAGGATGGAGGGCGGGCGCTCTGCAGGAGGACAATGCCAGAGGTGAGGAATCGGGAGAAAGGGAGGGCGGGTTGGATTGGAAGGGCGGGTGGCGGGCGGCGACTGGGGGAGGCAGATGGCCAGCACAGACTCTGAGGAGCCCCGCTTGTGGATGTTCTTCAACAGCATGCACACGCGTTCCTCGTCGTTTTGGTTTGCCCTCGGCCCGCTCGACAACCGGACCACCCATGATGTCGCCTGCTTTGTTGCGACCACAGAAAATATCGGAAGTCTTGCTCCCCTTGCTCGTTCTCCCCGTCCGTGGCTATATTGGGTCAGCCTGTCGAGCCCAGATATCGGACGGTGCATGGCCGTTTTTGGCATTGCCCATGCTGTGATGAACACACCCCGTAACCGTCGGTCTTGGGGCCGTGGTGGCCACGATGGCACCTGCACAGGCCTGCCTTGGGCTTGCATGTGCCATCGAGGGGTGGTTCACAGTACACGCCAGGAGGGCGAACGCCACCAGGACCACCACGTGGCGGCCGCCTCGCGACTGCGTCAATGTTGCCAAAGTCTGCTGCGACAGCAGCGGCTCCTGCGGTCGGGCCCGAGTGCTCCATTTCCTGATTGTGGCGCGTACGCCACTTCTTCCCACACCGAGCCTTTTGAAGGCTTGCAGCATGATGTTTGCAGCGACTTCCACTGGAAGTTCAGCATCAACTCTTGCGTGTACGAAGGCATGCCCCCTTTTCCGGTCTGTCTGCGTGCTCACAAGTGCGTCGCATTGAACGGTGGCATCTTCACCGCTAATTGGTTTGGCTTCACGATGGGCTAGTGGAACAAACTGAAGCACTAGAAGATCTGCGATCCGAACGCGGACAGCACTATGGAGTAAATGACCTTCAAAGAGCTGGTGTCGATCGGCCGCGAAGGCGACGTCAACAATGGTGTATCCGCAGGTCTCGCACCCGGCCACGACCACCACTTTGGCCAAAGCCCGGCGCGTTATGGAGGCCCGCAGCGGCAATAACCATTCTACGTTCACGTCAATGCGTTGCCTGTTTCCCCCACCATTTGGGCGCCAGTCTCGTAAAGGTGGACTAGACGATAAGGGTATCATCACGCCCGAGCAGGGTACGCTCCTCGACTCGAAGAACATGGCGGCGAAATCTGTGTGATCCAGGGTCGCGAGGTATAGGAAATGGAAAATGATGAGGATCGAGCAGGGCAGCACGGCCAACTCTGCCAGCAAATTCTCTACAAAGTTGAGCGTACATTGGGTCGTGGACTGTTCCCTGTCCCGCACGGAGGCCCAGTCGATCTGCTGACGCAGTAGGTAGGGTTCGCCGGCCGTGGCGGCTGGCGGCCGATGTGAGGAGGGCATAATAGTTGTTCATATCGTTTCGCAACCCACCCCTACTACCTTCCTTGTCCCACGCGAAGTTCATCCCCCTCCCTCGCTCAGAGTCACGCTGGACGGGTTGAAGACGCACATGCACGACCTATGTGTGTAGATGATTTGCGAAGACACGGGTCGCCAGCATGCAGGAAACAAAAAGTCGTTCGCGAAGGAGGTGTGGCCCGCCATAACAGTTCGCGCAACGCATCGCAGCATAGGCGGGGACCAATTACTGAGGTGTATCAGCGAAGCATAATTCTGGCGATGTCCTACGCGCAGCGCTGCCCAAGGTCAAGCTGTCGAGCTGGGGATTTCGCAACCAGTAGAAGTACGCACGGGGAACAGAGATGGACGAAGCGGAAGAGGTCGCCCAGAAGAGCCAAAGTGACGCGTTGACAGCCACGTTCGCCCGTTCTCGTCCTAAAGATGTCTACCTCCCCTCCTCCCTTAGCTCCATGGCTCCACGCTGTCACCCCTCCAGTGCACATGTGAAGTGTGGCTACCTGATCGAAGTGCACTACCGCCGACAGAGCTGCAGCAGTCCTCGCCCAGCACGGACTCAACTCTGCATGAGTGCAGCCCGATACATCGGATTACTGCGCGCAGCTCAGGCCGAGATTCACACCACGAGCTGCCCCAGTTGCTTGAGGACGTGGTGTGGCATTGCTGTCCCGCTTCATGCAAATTGCTCTCCTCACTCTCTTGATTATCATGCGATTGGTCCTCCCTCCTCCTTCCTCATGATCATCCTCGTGTTCATCTCATCCTTCTTGGCCCTTCTCCTTCATCCCTCGGTTCTCCCATCCGCCGGCAGGCCCTCGAGTCGGCCGTCGGCGCCGGCAGCGTCAGCGGCTCAGCGGCGCGCGCGCGCGCGGCTGGCCTGGCCTCCTTGTCCCTCCTCCTCCTCCTCCTCCTCCTCCTCCTCCTCCTCCTCCTCCTCCTCATCATCATCATCATCATCATCATCATCATCCTTCTTCTCGCCCTGCTTCTCTTTTTGTTGAGACGCAATGCCGAGAGACCCAAGCGGGGATGCGCCAGCCCCCGGTCTGCTGCCACCGCCGCCATCCCTGGGTCAGCTCCGCCAGCCCAGCTGCTCTTCTTCACACTGGGTTTTTGCACTCCGCCCGGTCTCGCTCTCTCTCCCTCTCTCTGGCAGTACTTCCCCCCTCCGTCCTCGGGCCGGTGTCTTCAGTCGTCGGTGTCCGAAGCCATCTAGAGCATCACGTAGGATTTTGCGACCGCGTGGGAAGCGTCAGGCCGTCCAAATAGCCCCAGTAGCGGGGGGGCGCAGCGGCTGGGTGCGACGAGGGAAAGGGAGAACTTGCCAGACAGCCCTTGGCATTATGTCACACCCCAACGTGCCAGTGGACGCGGTGGCGGATGAGCTCGGCCACGCCGCTTCGGGCGTCTCTGGCAAGTCGACGCGGCTTACGCGGTCTCGCTGCTCGGTGGAGGACGCGCGCGAGGCTGGCGTTATCGCTGGCGGCGCAGGCCGGCGCGTGATCGAGGATTGCACATTTCAGAAAGTCGGGAAGCAGGCGGCCGAGGTAAGGGAGCAGGGGCAGGGGCAGGCGCGGCGGTCGACAGTCAGGAGTGCACACCAAGGTGAGCGCGCGCATGGGGGGGCAAGGAGCGTCTCGCGCGAGGGAGTGACTATTGACGGCGCCTTCAGCGAGGCCGTCCACGTCTCTGGCGAAGTCCGCATCAGGGAGATTCTAGCGCGGGGGGCCGGTACCCAATCTGAGATTCAGCAGAGGCCCAAGGGGGAACCAGGCTCCGGGAGAGCGCCCCTGCCGAGGGTCGTTCGACATCTTTTCGTTCCTGCTTGTTCGCAGGCCGCCTCGTCGCGACCATGACGGGCTGTATCAGCAGGCACACGCGCGGACAGTCTTGCAGTTTTGACGAGGGTTGCGCTGCTTTCTTGACACGTTGCTCATCAGAGGACGCGACGGCTAGTGCTAACACAAGTTGGACTGGCATTGGCGCGTCTGCAAGGGGGGAAGTCCGACGCGGTCATCACGCGCAGCCGCTTCGTGGGCAACGCCGTCGGCAGAAGCATCGGGCACGATTACACAGGCCGCGACGCGGTGCAGGCCCGCGTGTTTGCGCGCAACAATTTTGAAGATATTCTCAACGTTACAGATTTGTTCAGCGAGCAGCTTCTCGCAGAAGCTTCTGCGCTGACCCTGGAAAGCATGTGCGTCGGCAGGCGGAAAGCGAGCTGGAAAAAATGAGGCGCGTCGGCGCTTGGAGCTCGCCGCCGCTGCTCTTAGAGAACAAGCTCATTGCAAAGGGCCGCGTGCTTGATCTGCAGGGGATGTCAGAAAACATCGGAGCCGAGGGCCTCACCAGGCAGCCACCGCTCCCGCAGAAATTGGCGCGGGGGGCGGCCGGTCGAGGCAGGCGCACCTCGGCGACGCCCTTCGCCTGCGGTTTCGGCTGCACCGAGCTCGGGGGCCGCGCAGGATGCGCGCGGGCCTCCTTGGAGAACCACGCGAGCTTCCCTCCGTTCATGCGCCTTCCTGCGGACCCTGCGTTGGCGCCTAAAACCGACGACCCCAACTCGCAGTTCTATTCCTTGCCGTCGGCGCCAGGCGGGAACGAGGGCGCACGTGCCGCGCCAGTCAGACATGGGTGCCTGATTGGCGAGATCACGTCGGTGGACGAGGCGCGAGGCGCCGACGTCGCCTCGTTCGCTGCGACAGCCGGGCCAGACGCGGCGAAGAGCCCCAAGATTCAGACGAGGCGCGCCGACCAGGCCAGTTGCGATTATGGCGCGGAGTTGCTTGCGATGTTGGAGGGGCCATTGGCTTGGGGCAGCGCAACCTTCAGACGCGGGCGGACGGTGTCCGCGCTGCACCCAGAGAAGCAGGATGTGGACATCATTAGGGGCACGGGCCAGGTTGCGCTGACCGACGCGGGTTCTGCGTTCGTCTTCGTGGATCGTTTGCAGCCATTGTTCGATCAGGCCGGTTGCTGCGCTTTTGCGGGAGTTGGTTATGCGTAGTGCGGTTTCTGCGGCGGTGCCGCGGCGAATCCGCCCAGGCGCTTGAAATGTGACATATTCCAATACTGCGACGAGGCACGCCGCACAAAGCATGCAGACAACCACAAGGCGTTGTGCGAACAGATGGCCACGGTCTGCCATCTCGCAACGGCCGACTTCAGGCGTTTTGATCATCCCTTCAGCCGACCATATCGAGGTTGAGGCGACGGCCACCACTCCCGTCGCGCCCCTGACCTCCGCTGCCGAAGCGCAAGCCTCGCAGTCGGCAGCAGCCAAAGCCGACGACGGCGAGGTGAGACCCGCAGCGAGCCTCGCGGAACCAACGGCAGACGAGCGGTGCGCTCGGTTGCTTTGTACATTGGAGGGAGTCGAGGCGGCTCCGAGGGAATTGCGGCCCGACGGCACCGTCAAGACCGGGAAGGTGAACGGCCGCGCTAAGCTCCAGCACAAGCTGAAGCGGGCCAGGGTTCGCCTGGCCTGCGCTGCTGGCGAGGAGGTGGCTTCGAGCAGCCATGCTGCAGCTGGCAGCCCTGGCGTTTCGGGCGACACGGCGCAGCCTCCGATCGCCTACGCTGACGACGACCCCACCACGACGCTGGGCGCTCGGCCAGAGGGCTCTGGCCAGCTGGACGCAGACGGGTATCAGGGGGCTCCCGCACCAGAGATTCTGCCGAGAGGGCTCTCCAGGCAGATCTGGAGGCGGCGCGCCGCAGGCGCGTACGTCTTTGCGTCCTTCCAGCGTAGCCTCGTCTGCCCAAGCAGCCCCTGGTGCGTGGACGTGCGGCCGGAGCGCTTCTGCTCGGACTTCCGGAAGCTGGGAGTCCTGCCCGGCCCCGTGCGGTTTTTGTGTTGTTGGGGCCATGACGGTCGCCGCCTTGGGCGCGCGATACCGCAGCAGGGGGACGCGACCCGGCGGCTTCGGAAGCTGCGGCCGAGCGACGTGACTTTCAGCCAGAGCTCCATCGGCCATCGCTTCAAGGTCGGGCACACGCTCGAGGACACGCTCAGCAAGCTACGCTCACGCGAGCTCAAGGTCGAGGACATCGAGCGGATACAAATCACCTGGCAGAGCCACGCACGGGCACGTGCGGAGAGCCCCCGATGGTGGACCTGCACGTGCAGCCGCAGGTTCTGGATGTTCCGCGAGTTGGAGAAGCAGGGAGCCATCGACACCATCGTGGCAGAGTGTGTGACCGATTGCGTCCCGGAATGGCGGGCCACCGCCGCCTCGGCGGGCGACGCGCCACTCGTGCGCGGGCCGCGGCGCTGAGAGGCGTAGCGCACCCCGCGACTCCGCGGCCGCAGGTCGGGCGAGGCACCTGCGAAGGCAGGCCTCTTCAGCAGAGTGGCCACTGTTCCCCTCTTGTAACATATATATATATATATATAGTAATGACTATACAACTAAATATAGATACACTGTTAATATTTCCGGTGTCGTTTGTATTGTGTGGCTTGTGTAATCAAAACACACAGAGATCAACAAAAACCATCAAAATTCCACCAAATCTAACAAAACCCCAGATAACTCAAAATGTTGTCAATCCCTCTTGCTCCTCCCCTGCATCCCTGGGCCCGCCCTTCTCCCCCCTCGCTCTCGTCCCTCACCCCTCCCTCCGTGCCGACCGCCCCCCCTCCTCCCTCGCTGCCCATTTTCTCCCGTGCCCGAGTCCACGTCAAGTCTGGTTTCTCGTTTCTGTATTGTTTCTCTATCTCTCTCTTGTTCTCTCTCTCTCTCTTTCTATCCTCTCTCCTCCCTCCATCTCCCTCTCCCTCCCTCCCTCTCTCTCTCTCTCTCTCTCTATCTCCCTCTCCATGCTCCTGCCGTCTTCGTCTTTTCCTGCTTCCGCCTGCTTCCCTGCTCCGTCCAGAAGATGGCGGCAGGAGTGGGATCACCGTCCCGTGTTTCTGCGAGGTCGGAGCCGATGCTCGCTCGGCGCCGCCGCGAAGGCTCGTTGCCGTTTGCGTGAATATCCTCGCAGCGCCAGCTCGTTCTCTGCGTTGCCCTGCGTACTGTGTGAAGGACCCATATCCTCGCATGTCGGCGAGGAGACATGTTCCAATGCAGTTCCGCGTCCTGGTCCAACATCTCCAACATCCGCGAAACCATTGCATAGAAGCACACAGTGCCCACTCCGGTATGTACTTGCCCCCCGTCTCCTTCCGCGCCATCTCTTTCTCCAGAAGCGAGTCGCTTGCCGATAGCATCGAGGTTGCAGCCCTCGCACCACGAATCGGAATGATGCATACGCCTCCCAGGTCCTACGCGGTGGCGATCGCCAGCGTTGCCCCGAGAGGGGGAGCGAGGAACCCGACAACGCTGGGCGTGGCTCTGGCAGGGCGCCCCGCGCCGCGCCGCCGACCGCCCTTGTCGGCGTTGTCGGCCCGCCGACGCGCCGCGCTTCGCTGGTGGGCCGCTGCTGCATGCGCTGCCAGTTTTACGATCGGGCGTTGCCAAAGGTCTCTTTGACCCAGGGTGCCCCCGATGGAGTCGGAAGATCGCACCGCGTCGCCGACGCATCGGCGATGCGGCGCAGGCGAGAGCCTGGAGTTCTCCATCCCGACGCAGTGAGATTTTCCAACTACCTTTGATGTGGTTCCATGTGGGTGGCTTCCATCCCCCTCTCCTCGTCCTTCTTCTCCTGCCTCTTCTTCATCCCTCCCTACTCCCAGCTCCACTGTGGGGGAGGGCCGATCGATCGGTGAGGAGGTCGATCAGCGCCCGCGGCCACCGGTGCATGACATGCATGCTAGCCTCACGCCCGACTCGGTACCGCGCACCAGTTGCGCCAACGACGACGACGACGACGATGCGGACGCCGACGACGACCCTCTGGGAAATATCAGCCCCTCGCTCGAGGAATATGCATGTTGATCTCCCCAGCACTCTTGCTGCTACAACTACTACGAGCACGCGAATACGATGACGACGACGTGGCACGAGTGCACCACATGAATTGCACCACATAGCTTGCACCACAGAGAAGGCACCCTCTAGATTGCACCGCATAACTTGCACAAGGTAGATTGTTTACCACAGGTTGCATCCCTTTCATTACGCCACATACGTTGCATCCCATGCACTGGGCAGCACATGGAGTTCGCATTCCAAGATCACGAACCCACTGTTCGGGGCCCAAGCTGGCAAGCATAAATGCCCAACTCCCCGGGTGCAGTGCCACAACAATGAAGCTTGGCAGAAACGGGCAGGAGCAAACACGGAACACCCTTGGAGAGGTCAATGTTCAGGCCCCCGGGTGGTCCCCGCGCGGTTCCAAATGTTCAAGAGGCAGGGCGGTGTGTTTGTGTTATCAGACCGAGCCGAGGTCGACATGCTGGCCGCGGCCATCAGCTCGGCGGAGGTACCTGCGCCCGTGGGGTGCCAGCAACAGCGGGGAAAGGACGTACCCAAGCGAGGTGGAAAGAGGATGGAAAGGCAGAGATAGAGAACGAAGGACAAGGAGAAAAAACTTCGACGTGGAGATCCCAATCTGTACATGTTATTTCTGACAGCTCCCCTTGTTTATGAGCGTTTGAGTACGAACGAGTCCGAGTGAGTGAGTGCGATCGGGTCGGCATGTAAGTGAGTCTAGGTATTAGTGAGCCTCCCCCAGTAGTTCCTCCCGAACGGGCCCATGTCATACCCCCGTGGCGGCTCCCCCTTGGGATGCACAAGTGGCATGCCTGCTACATCGTGATGATGTTCGGGCTCCGAAAAGAGACATGCGTCCCTCCCCCACCACCACCACAACAGTAAGAAAAACAAGCATCATATATTTTTCGTCAGCGGCGAGGCGACGAAATCCGCTCCAGCGAACAGCTAGGTAGGGGCACTAACTAGCGAATTGGCCGGCGTGCAAGGAGGGAGGGGGAGGCCGAGAGGAAGGAGGGACGCTCAGACGCCGAAGAATTCGACGATGAGCCGTCGGCGGGCTGCCAGGCGCGTAAGGCCAGAGCGCGGTGGGCGACCGTAGCGAACCACGGTGGCAAAGGCGACGGGGAGTGGCAGCCAGCCAGGGGTTGGGGAAGCACAGGAGACACGGCACCCCAGCTCTCTAGGCCGCCGCGGGCGCGCAAGCGCTTGAAGACGAGGCGGGGCCGCGGCAGGCGGTACAACCTATCATCCAGGTCGAGCCAGGCTCGGTCAGCGTGGTCGTCGGGCCAGTCTGGGCCCCGCACGCTGTCCATGCGCCCGTCGATTTCTCGCCCTGCGCTGGCTGCGGCCTGCCTTTCCTCTCCCATGCAGTCGGGGTCGCTGCCGCGGCCATGAGCGGGGGCGCTGGATGCTGGCCCATTGGGCGCCGCGCATGGCCCGGGCCCGGCGGCGCGCGGCCGGGCCGGGGCGCGGTCGCCTCGGAGCGGGCCAAGAGCACGGCCAGTCTCGGCCCCAAAAAGCGCGCCCCACTCGATGACCCACGCGCGGGGGCCAGGTCCGGCACGCTGCCCGAGCGCGCCCTGAGCGGGAGGCCAGGGCCCAGGAGCGGGCCGCCTTCGCGGGCTGCGGCGTCGGCTTGCAGCGGTTGCGTTGCTGCCGTGGGCGAGGTCAGCCTCCTGGGCGGGGTCTTCGGCGCCCTGCGCGGCGCCGCCGCTGGACCCCCCCTTTCGCCTCCCTCTCCTGTCGCGGGGACCGCTGGGCGCGACGCGTCTGCGCGAGGCGAGTGGTTGGCGCCGCGGGCTGGCCCTGCGGGGCGGGACAGATCGGGCGTGCTAGCGGTGTTTGGCGGGGGGCCAGGTGGGGGCCCCGGCACCGTTGTCTCCTCGGCTGTCCCTCCTTGGGCTGGAAGCGATTGCCGCCTGGCGGCCGGTGCTGGCACGGCGTCGGCCAGGGCAACGTAGCGTGCCAGCAGCGGGGGGTCCAGAGTACAACTGTCGTGGATGGCCAGGAGTCGGGCCAGCACCCGCTCGCTGCACGCTAGAAGGCCTGCGCCGTGAACGGCAGAGTCGTTGCCGAGGAAGGCGGGCCAGGAACTTAAGGTTGTCCGGGCGCTCGACACCTCGATTCCCTTTCTCCCTTGCGAGATAGTTGACAATTTGAATGAGGGCCGCCCTCCTGCCGCTCCAAGGGCAGCGTTCGGGGGCGCCGTCCGTCGGGGCATCATCCAGGCTCGCCCCATGCTCGAGGACGCCGCGGCATTGAGCCATGGGCGGCCCCCGAGCTAGCCAGGGGTCTCCGGAGCGCCCACCGCACCCACTCTCGCACGACCCCGTTCGTGGACCTGCAGCAGGAACGCAACCGCGCCCTTCGCGATGGTGCCAGCGCGGGGCCCGGCCGCGCTCAGCCAGGCGACCTCTCGCACTGCGAGGTCGGTGCAGCGCGGCGGCGGCAGATCGATGAGCCAGACCGCGAGTACATCTCCTGACCAACAGGCGGGTCGCATGGCCAGGACGACGGTTTCAACCGCGGTGCACAAGGTGCGGGGTGGCGCTCCGCGTTGGAAGTAGCCCTCCTCTGCGCGCGGGCAGCCATCGAAATCCGACCTGCTGCGGCCCCCGACGAGGCCCGGGATGACCTCGTAGGAGAGCGGCGCTTGGAGCTTTTCAAAGCCTTCCAGAGCCGGGATCGAGCTCGCCCCACTTGACAGCTGCCCGCGGGCTCTTGCTCACGACCCATTCGACCATGTGCGCTGGCATATGTTGCCTAGCTGTAGCTGCCCATGTTCACTCCTCACCCCCGTAGGCTGTCGAGGCCGCCTGGTTAGGGCCGCCCGCCTTTCCAGAGGGTGTCCAGGAACTTCTGGAGCCTTGCTTGACCTCGTCAGCGCAGAAGCTGATCCACCTCCGATTCACCGCGGGGCCGCAGCTGGCTCTGCAGAGCCTGACCAGGCCAGCCAGTTCAGCCCCCGCCATCGCGGGAAAAAGTCTCCGCCGTCTCCCGCGCGCGCTCGGGGCGCGGCGGGGCCGGGCAGGTCGCTGGCACAGGTGGAACCCATGGCTCGGTGCTGCGGCCCGGGCCAGGTCCTCGTCGTGCCGCCCTTTCCCCGTCGGCGCGCACGGCTCCGTGCTCGGGGGCGGGTCTTGGAGGATCGGGGAGGAGGAGAAGGAGCAAGAGGAGGAGGAGGGGGACGAGGAAAGGGGGGAGGAGGAGGAGGAGGAGGAGGAGGAGGAGGAGGAGGAGGAGGAGGCCGCGCCTCCATCGGTTGGACCCCGCCTCCACGCCGGGAGCCTGCGGTCGGGTCACTCTGCCCGGGGGCGGCCTGCGCGCTGGCCGACTGCAGCCAGTCAAAAGTGGCCCTGCGGCCCCTCCTCAGCGGCTCCAGCGGGGGGCGGTGGTCGGAGCGGGACCGAGCCCTCGCCCGCGACGGCCGCAGCAGCGACGCCCGCTTGCCCCAGCGGCTGGGTGACAGCACCAAGACGTCGCGCGCGCACAGGGCGGCCACGTCGAGGAGTCTCTGCTCGATTGTGTCTCGCGCCCGGCGCACGTTCGCCGGCGGCTCCGCGGCTGCATTGCAGGGCGGGTCGCGGGCAGGGAGGGCCGGAGGCGGCGGCCGCGCACCGGGCTGCGGGTTGATCGGGTAGACCAGCGCGCCGTCGCGCCGCAGGATCTCCTCTACGTCGGAGGGCCGGGCGTCCCAGAGGTGCACCAGGCATTCCGAACAGAGCCAGCTGCCGTTCCAGCGCTTGGCCCGGAACTCTCGGAGCCAGCGCGGGCATGCCGGGAGGCCCATGACCAGCGGCACCCGCGTCGAAGTAGCAGCGTCGGGGCGGGGCGCAAACACGCCGAGAGGGGCTTCACCGATCTTCCAGCGAAGCACCGGCCGCGCGGAAGGGCAGCCGTCGCACTTGGCGGACCAGCCGTCTTTGAGCACTCCCCGCCCCATCTTGTCGTTATTGGTGCGGCGGGCGGAGGTCATCGTGCTAACTGCGACTGGGTCGTGGACTCCGTCATGGGGAAAAACAACACATGACGAAAAAAGAAAAGTTCAAGTAATCGAGTAATTGGAAGTTCTAATCTGAAAGTTACATTGTATTTATACATACATGCGTACACAAAAGGATGAAGATATTTTTACATGAAGCAAGCCATATGGACAAGGAACAGTCTAAAGTTCATGAACAAATCTAGTAAACAGTCATCTACGTTTGGTTGCATTTGCAACGATCTTGCTTTACAAACAAATACGTTACAAATATGAAACAACGCCACATAACATGCACGAAGGTGGATCACTTGCAGATCGAAATTGTGTATCGTCCGCGTCAATTCGGGCAGCATCGAGATTCAATGGGTTAGCTTATTGATGGCATTTGCGGCCCCAGAAACTGACATGCATTCAAGGTACCCTGGGTTTCTTCGCCTTCTACCCTGTCCTTCGTCGCGCGAAGAGCGCGCGTTCCTGGGTGTTTTTGTTCGCCCCCCTGGCTGGCAGTGTCAGTCTGACGGGTGGTCGCTGGCACACCCTGGGCGTTCGCCCGATATTCAGAGAAACATTGCTGCATTGAGGGTGCCCTCGGTTGTTTCGCCCCCATGGCCTGAGTCAAATGGGCAAAAACGCTTCATTCCCAGAGGAGAAATCGTCGCCTCTCTGTTTGTGCAAGGCCCGAAGGTCGCATTTCAGATCGCCTTGGGCTTCTCGGTGCCAAGTTTTTGGACGCAAACAGTCAAGAAACCGCTCGGGCCATGGTGCCCTGGGTTTCTTCGTTTGCAGCCGAGGAACAAGAAACCCAACCCTGGACCAAGAAACCTCGGAGAACTTCAGGGTTGGGTTTCTTGCGGTGGGTGTCTTGTGGATAGGCTCGTACATCTTGGCGGACCCCCTTTGCGTGCCCAAATGGCATTTTTGCTACATCGCTACGGTCATGGGGTTCTGTCTGAGAGCCAGTACGGGTGTGAGTGAAAGTGTTACTCCGTCTGAGTATGATCATGTCTGAGTACGGGTGAGCTGATTGTGCGTGAGCCTGAGCACGACTGGTCTAAGTACGAGTGAGTCCAAGTACCGAGCGAATAAGTCTGGGTGTGAGAGGGTCTGATTAAGCGAGCTTGAGAGTGAGTGAGTACGAGTAGATACGAGCGAGGGTGACTCTGGAAGTGGGTGATACTATGTGTGAGCGTAATAACTTCGGAGGGAGAAGACAGGAAGAGAGAGGCAGAGGCGCGACACGAATATGAAGAACCCATTTTCAGGATGGGGTGAAATACTGAGCAGATGAGTTGGAGGATGAGGCCAGGAAGTTCTGAGAATCGAGGGTCGCTTGCCCCGTGAGCAGAGAAGAGCACAGAGTAAGGCGAGGATGGGGCCGAGGAAGGTGGATGCGGACCCCGCGGCGGCGGCGGCGGACCAACGCCGCAAAGCTGGCCCCCGAGTGCGCACCGGTGCCCCCCCTGGCGAGGCCGCTGGCTTGACAGAGGCGCAGCTGGCCACCGCGCGCGAGCGGCATGACGCGCTGCGCGAGGAGGCGCAGCGACGGCAGGCGGGCCATGGCCGCCCGCAGACACAGGAATAGTGGTCGAAGCGTGACGGCATGCAGAGAGGGGGGGGGCGGGCACGGGCTGCACCGAGTGGGCGGACAGGGAGGGCGGGCAGGGGCAGAGGATTTAGGCAGGGCCCACAGCCGCAGTGGGCAGATCAAATGGGGGGGAAAGGGGGGGGAGGCGGGGACTTGCACAAGGTAGTGGCGGGGCCCCGGGGGGCCTGAGCGGCTGGTAGTTGTTGACGTCTCGACTGTTGTTGGGGTGGGCATCGAGGGCGGGGGCACCCAGGAGGGGTACGTGTCCCCACCCCCCTTCCCTTCCCTCCTCCCTCCCTCCCTCACCCCCTTCGCTGCTATTTGGGTGCCTGGGCGCTCGGGACACCGCTCATGCCGCACAGTGCCAGTCAAAGCTTCAGTGTCACCGCCATGAGCCTCTTGGCGGGTTCTCGCAGTTGAGGAGGGCTGTCAAAGTCGGCAGAAGGTAAAGGATCTGTCTTCCCAGCTGGTTATCCATGTTCTTAACCATCCCCCATTGGGGCCGTCGGCTTCGGTAGAAAATGCAGAGGTGCAGATTAGTCAGCCTGCAACCTCCTTCCCATGTCCACCACACAATCCCCCCCCTCTCTTTGCGTTTCGGCCAGCAGAAACCAGCACAGGCGTACGACGTGGCGCTCGTCGGCTTGCGAACTGCATTGCAGCGTGGCCAGGAGAGCTCAGCAGGGCTTCCCGCCCTTCCCCTCCTTACTCAGCCGTCCAGTTCTCTCATTTCTCCTCCATTTGCTTCCCGCGGCCCCCCACTTACATTCATGACGGTATCTCTTGGTTGTTGTTGTGTTTGAGCAGATGTAAATGTAGATGTATACGTGTATATAAAAATAAATAAACATACATACATACATACCTACATACATACATAGATGTATACGTGTATATAAAAATAAATAAACATACATACATACATACCTACATACATACATACATGCATACATACATTCATACATACATACATACAACCAAAAACACTCATACATACATACATACATACATACATATATACATACATACATACATACATACATACAAACATACATACATGGAGGAATGCATGCATACATGCATGCATGCATGCATACCTACACGCATGTTTCCATACATCCAGACGTCCATATATCTAGACACCCGCACGTACATATAAACATGCATGCATGCATACATACATGCATACACAGTAGCGTGCATATATATATATATATGTATATAGACGTGTGTGTGTGTGTCCGTCCCTTCTTGACTTTGTTGTTGAGCCTGTCTTCAGATTGGCCGCTGCATACAAGGTGGTGTACACCTGTGTATAGGTCCTATGTATATTCGGATATAAATGTGTTCATCTTATGTGTATGGCTTGGTTAAGTTTCCGTCGTCTCACCTGGCTTGCTCCGCCTCGTCGTCTCGCGCGCGGCCGCGACCGCCAAGAAGTGTATGCGTGTGTGTTTATATGTACGTGCGAGCTTGTGCGCGCTCATGCATGCCGAATCTGTTTTACATAATCATACATCATTCACACACGGACGTATTTTCTTAAACGCCTACATAGCATTGCTCATTGTGTGAGTTCCCAGTGCCACTTCGTGGAAATCAGCTAAGAGCAGGGCTTTCGCATTCCAAAGAATGGAGATCCGATAAGGCCGCTCGTCTAAAAGATAAATATAGCACGATGCACGGTGCGAAGCAGCGGGCGGTTAAAATGGGACTGCGAGATTAGATCGCGTAGCATCGCAAAGCTACAGCTGCATGGTCAGAACGCATGGGCACAGAGAAGTAGTCATGGGTGCAACTTGTGTTCTCTGAGGAACCATTGCACTCAACCGAAGGGCAGGAGGACCGCGAAAACATTGCAAGATACAGTAATAGTTGACCTGTGCTGCATCGACAGCTTCGAGCAGTGATCATTGCCAGTTCGGGGCCGAGGCGCCATCGCGCCGTCCACCCTTGGACCGGCCTCGGGGCTGCAGAGGCGCGTGTCTTTCGATTCTTTTTCTCTCTCTCGTTCTCTCCCCCTCTTTCTCATACCTTCAAGTATATCCCTTGATGTGGTGAACCCGCTCGGTGCGTATATCTGCCCGCGCCCGAGGACGCCGAGTTCGTCGAGCCCGTTGTGCGGCACGCTGTCGAGGCCTCTCTGAGGGGTTGCCTCTTGCGCGCTGCCCTCGCTGGGGTGCAGGAACATCGACAGACGGAAGAGTGGACCCCCTAGCATGCTCCAGCTCCCTCTGCCTCGCCCCCTCCCTATTCCCCCCTTGCTCCCTCATCCCATTTTTGGTACATGTGGATCCGAGGTTTTCACTGTCTGGACATTTCCGCTCTGTCTACGCATACCCAGGACCCCGCACACAATCCCCCAAGTTAATTCAGCACCCGCATCCGCGAATGGGCGTGAGCGGCCGCTCTGCATTCGGCACGATCTATCCGCTGCGCGCCGAATTTTTCGAGCATTGATATGTTTCTTCTGCGGCCCAGACTCGGCGCCTCTGTTTGGCCCCAGGCAGCCCACGGCCGGCCCCACGACGCCGCGAGTCCCCCCTGGCTGGGCCCCACCAGGGCCCCTGCCGGAGGAAAATATGAAAATATGAACGCAACGAAACGTGTACACTCCGGATCAGCCAGCACCTGAAGGACGTGATTCCCACGGAAAAATGGAAGGAGCGTTTACAACAGGATTTGGCGCCACCGATGGGTCCCAGACGAGCCCAAGCCCCCACGTTGCACCCCAAACATTGCCGTTGGATGCAAGCCTCGCGGACTTGGCCCTACAGGCCCCCTTTTGGCGGGAAAAAGTGATGACGCTGAAAGCAGCGACGATGTTGACGAAAAGAGCATTGCGCGCCCAAGACCAGCCCACACTTGTCCGACACGAGATACATCCCCGTGCCCGGACGCCCTCCACTCCGACATTCTAGTCGCCATGCGTGGAAGATGGAGGCATGGAGGATGAAAGAGGAAAAAAGATGGAAGAATAAAGAGAAAGGAAGTAGGAGGTTTTACGTAAAAGCTATGGCGGGCAGGAATTCTGGGTTCCTACAGTGTTGCGACTTCGGTTGGATAGAATAGTGAGGTTCACGACGCGCAGATATCCGTGTGGGCACCATCATAATATATATATATATATATATAATATATATATATATATTATATAAAATATTATATATATATATATATATATATATATATATATATATACATACATACATACATACATATATACATATATACATACATACATGCATACATACAGATGTGCAGATGTACGTGTATGTATAACATGAGTATATATAACATATACGTGTGAGTTATGTTTACCATATAGAACACACACACATAACAACAAATCTGGTCGCCCCCACACACACACAGCACCCCCAAACCACAAACATCACAAAACCTTCACTTCTCGTTTGCTCGTCGTCGTCCTCCTCCGCCTCGTTCCTCCTCCTCCTTCTCCTCATCATCATCCTCCTTCTCCTCTTCTTCCTCCTCCGCCTCCTCCTTCTCTTCCCCCTCCTCCTCACAGCTTTTCCCAGAGAACACCCGAGTAAAAAACGCTGTGTTTCCAGCTTTCCCAGATTTCGCCACAACGAAAGCATTGAAAAACGTTATGGTTTCCTGCTTGTCCAGCTGTTCATATTTACCCAAGAGACTACACCATTGAAAAACGCCGTGGTGTCCTGCTTGTCCTGTTTTCCAGCTGTCCCAGAGACTTCCCCATTGAAAGACGCTGTATGTTCCAGCTGTTCCTGCGTGTTCCAGCTTCCCCCAGGGACTACCCCATGGAAAAACGCTATGTGTTCCAGCTGTCCTTGCTGATCCGAATTTTCCCAGAGACTACCCCTATTGAAAAACAGTGTTCTCCAGCTGGTCCTGCTTGTCCAATTTTTCCCTGAGGTTACCCCAGTGAGAAACGCTGTGTTGTTCCTGCTAGTCCAGTTTTTCCAAGTGCTTGCCACGTTGAACAAAACTCTGGGGAACAAAACGCTTATCAATGAGTAGCCCATTGGAAATCAGGAGAAGCAGGAAAATCTGGAAACACATTGTTGTTCAATGGGGTAGTCTCTGAGAAGAGCACGAAGGGCTCCAATGCACAACGGTTTTCAATGGGGCCGTTTCTGGGAAAAGCTGAAAAGGCAGGAAAATTTTTAAAACACAGATTTGTTCACTGGGGTAGTCTCTGAGAAAAGCTGGAAAAGCTAAAGATACAGCGTTTGTTCAATAGTTCGTTGCGGCGAAAGTTTGAAAAGCTGGAAACACACAACACTTGTTCACAGGGGTGGTTTCTAGGAAAGGTTGGACAATCTGGAAAACACAACGCTTTCAAGGCCAGCCCCTGCCGCGCGCTTCCAGCGTTTGCTCGTCGGAGGCCCTGTGCGCTCGCAAGTCAGTTAGATTCAATGGGGCAGCGTTGGCCGCTTGCTGCCCCCGCTCCGCCACGGGGTGGCGCGCCCCTCGGCGGCCCCCAGCCGCCAACGCCGATGCCGCTTGCACATCGCGCCGCGCAGCGCCAGCGATCACGAGCGCTCCCCCGTCGACGGGCCAGCGCTCGAGCTCGCCGCGGCGGTGCCCGCCGCGCCGTTCTCGTCGGGAATCTCCGACGGGTCATCCTCGAGGGCCGCGGACCGCAGGGCCGCGGACCGGATGTCATCGCCCCTGGAAAGCTTCTCCATGAAGGCCACGGCCCACCTCATGTTCACGTCGTAATCGGGCGGCGCGGACGTCTGGTCCTTTTTGAAACGCACCAGGACAGGGGTGGTCTCGGGCGCGAAGAGGTTTGGCTTGTCGGGCACTGGCCACGGGAAGCGGGCAACTGGATCCTTAGTCGTAGACGCCAACCACAAGCATATCCATCCCTCAGTGAGGACCACGATCTTGGACTTCTGCTTTTCGCCAACGAAATTGCAATCGACGATGCTGAGGAAGCCTCTGGATGCGATCTCCTCCTTCCCTCTGCGGACAGAACGGACCGACCCCTCGAACTCCTCGCCGCACGGGTCGACGCAGATTTGGCGGGGCAGGCTCTGCCCGTAGGAGGCGCCGCCCCGCCCATGCAGGGCGCGGAGGAAGGCGCCCATCAAAACCCGCGTGCAACAAAGAAACGAAGCTTGTTGTTGTTGTTGTTGTGTGGTTGGCGGTTTCTGTTTGATGGCGCGCGTTGCCCGCGCCCTGCCGCTTGGCCCACAGCAGCGCGCCCTCCTCGGCGGGGCCGACGAAGGCCTCGATCTCGTCGGGGCGCCACTTCGCCAGGGCGGCGTCGCCCGCGATGACGGGCTTGAACGCGGCCCCAGGTTCGAGCCGCGAGAAGTCGATATTCTTCGTCGCGGCGACGCTCGGGCGAAGGTCGGCGCGGTTGTTCTCATCGGTCTGGTAGACTGAGATCGCGAAGCCCATGATCTTCGACAGATTTGCCGACCCTCGCCTTGCCGACCCGCCTGGCCCCGCGAACGTCGTTGCATTTGAGACTAGGCGCCAGGACGTTGTCGAGCGCGAACGGGTGGATGCGCTCGAGCGCGACCGTCCAGCGCTCTAGCGTTTTCGCGCCAACAGAGCCCGAAGCGAAATTGCGGAGAGACCCCTCGACCCCCCCCCCCCCCGCGCTTGCCGGCCGAAGATCGGCGAGCTCTCGTCGTTGATCTGCTCGTCGGTCCACTCGATGAATTGATTGCGGCCATTGGCCCTCTGGCCGAATTCCACTGCGAAGCGGAAGCCCGCCTTTCGCTCTCCTTCGTCGCATCCGCCGCCCCCGAAGGCTACGACCACGGACGGCCGAACCCTATGGCGGACCTGCACTCCGCCCAACTTGTCCATCATGTAATAGAAGAGCTTCAGCGGCGCGAGAAGGTCGGGCGAGTTCCCACAGTGGACTGCGAGCGCCCTGCCCGCGATAAGGATCTCCTCGGCGAATCCGGCCCGAACCCTGCTCTCGAACCTGCCGCACTTCAGCGCGAACTGGTGGCCGTTATCCCCCTTCGGCAATATATAAAGAGCTGCATGGTAAAAGGCGATTTCGCCAGTGTCCCTGTTCGGCTTGCACGGCGCAGGCAGCGCCATGCAGTTGCCACCGCACGTGGCGTCATACACGTCGACGGCGTTTAAATGGTCCACGGCGCCATCCTCCAATTCCACCCAGTCCACCAAGTGTTCGGGGCCCACTTGGTCCGCGCAATAGAGCGGCATGTCGCGGGGGCAAAACGCCGCGGGGGGATCTGACTGGAAACGTTCTGGTTTGTCCAGCTCCTCGTAAGTCTGCACCGCCGCCAGGCGCAGCCACGCGCCTTTGATCCGGTCAGCGCAGGTCGCGTCGCCGCCGACGAGCTCCCACATCGCTTCGACGCCGCCAGCCGCGAGGCTCGCCACGGCAAAGGGCGGCCGCGCGCAGAAGATGAGAGCAGAAGCCTCGCCGAGGTCACGGGCGAGCGCAGCGGTGGATCCCCGAGCCTACGCGGGCGAGGCATTCGGGGAGATGGGCGGTTTCGGCGCGATCGCCCGCAGATGAAAGAGGAGTGGACGACCGCCGCCCCAGACTCGGCCCCTCCCTCGCCGGGCTCCGCGACGGCGCGCGCGGGCACACCGTGAAAGTAGCTATATATCGAGGTCGCGCGGGGCAGCGCTGGCCGCTGGCTGCCCCGCGTCGCCGCGCCGAGCCGCGCGGGCTCGCGCGCTGAAGTCCCGCGCCACAAATCGTTCGGCGTGTCCCCCGTGCACCGCCAGAAGCCGGCGCCGCGGCTTCAGTATTCCCATTGGAACGAGCGGATCTGCTGGCGGAGAAGCTTTGCATTCACCGCCTCGACGCTGCCGTGGCGCTTGCGGAGACCGCCCCAACTGCGATCGATGACCTGTGCCCCAGCCATCACCCACAGCTTCTTCTCGGAGGCGCCGCCCTCGGCAACGTTGCGGCAGCTGGGCTCGGCGCGCTTCGGCTTCACCCAAATACACCCCCAGCGCACCCTGACGCGCTCGCGGCAATGGACGACGCAGCCGCGCTTCACGCCGCCCAGTTTGAAATTGCAACCCTCGGCGCCGCCTGCGCGCAGAATGACGCGGCGGCCCTTGAGCCACCTCTTCGCCGCAGGCATCCAGTCCCGCTTGCGAGTGGCCCTGGGGCCAGACGCCCTCTTCGTCTTCTTG